GCAGCTATCGTTTGGGCATAGATTCGACCAGCCCATTGTCGGAGTGGTGTGGCCGGCCTCCCTGCAACGGCTATCGTTTGGTCACAAATTCAACCAGCCCATCGTCGAAGTCGTGTGGCCGGCCTCCCTGCAGCAGCTATCAATTGGTTGGAAATTCAACCAGCCCATCGTCGGTGTCGTGTTGCTGGCCTCCCTGCAGCAGCTATCGTTCGGTTGGGAATTCAACCAGCCCATCATCGGCGTCGTGTGGCCGGCCTCCCTGCAACGGCTATCGTTTGGTCACAAATTCAACCAGCCCATCGTCGAAGTCGTGTTGCCGACCTCCCTGCAGCAGCTATCAATTGGTTGGAAATTCAACCAGCCCATCGTCGGCGTCGTGTGGCCGGCCTCCCTACAGCAGCTATCGTTCGGTCACAAATTCAACCAGCCCATCGTCGTCGTCGTGTGGCCGGCCTCCCTGCAACGGCTATCGTTTGGTCACAAATTTAACAGCCCATCGACGGCGTCGTGTGGCCGACCTCCCTGCAGCAGCTATCGTTTGGTTTGGAGTTCAACCAGCCCATTACGGGAGTCGCGGGCCGGCCTCCTTACGAAGTGTGACTCGTGAAGGACTTAGTCTGTTGTGACATCTGTCGACGCACGTACCCGGTCATGCGGGCCCGGCCATGTATGTAGAACAGGAAGGCATGGATGGGAAGACGGGTACGTGATTTGGTACAGTTGTGGTCTCCGAGCAAGGCAAGCCCGCCGCTGTCAGCGAGGGAGCCAATGATGCCCAATCATTTCGAGTTGGCGATCCCCTCCACTGCACGACTTCCTCTCTTCGTGCGACGACGCTCGAAATCAGTATCTACTGCGTTGGGGGCAGCAGTGCAAACATCGCGGAAAGCTTCATCGGGTAGACATCGTGCTGGATCGACCATTTCCTGGCACCGACGTTGTGAATTGCTACACAACGATGGAGAACAAGTGTGTGGTGGGCACAGAAGGGTTGTCTCAGGGTGGAGGTGCCATCAAGGCAAACAAACACAGCCTTAACGTGTATACTGTTGTATTCTTATCCCTTACCCAGATCATTCGACGTAAGTATTGGATTTGGTTGGGTGAGGCCTCCTGCGGCTGCAGGAGGGTTGCGCCACAAGTAACCCTTTGGGCTGGGTGTGCCCAGGCCCAAAGTGTTTGAATGATCAGTAAGTTCATGAATATAGTAAGCATTGTGTAGGGCGGGTGGGGTGGTCTCAAATATACCCCTTCTTCTCTGCTCCGGCGTATTTCGGGAGAGAAAAGGGGGACTAAACTAGGTGAGGTCATTTTCCAACATCCTTTCTGGAATATCTGACTCTTCCCGATTTCGTTCCGAAATCTAGATGCGTCTCAATCCGAGATTACTGTTGTATTATTTTCCCTTACCCAGATCATTCGGTGTAAGTATTGGATTTGGTTGGGTGAGGCCTCCTGCGCCGCCCTGTGGTCCCGCCCATTACTTTCTTGTTGATTATCCGATCTGCCACATCTGAGTTATTGACCACTCACGCCTCTAAGCTAGGTCTCGCCCACCCAAAACTTTCTTTATCTTCCGCGGCGAGCACACGCAGAGAAATCGCATGTGAAGTTGGCCGACAACGGCAACGCGTTTGAGTCTGCGTACAGCTCGCTACGGGTCCTCTTGGAACCCGTTGCCCCCACACTAGTAGTGGCGCGAACATATCGCTTCGCTACACTCTCCGTACGCCACCCGGCAATTTTCATGATAGCGTCCATCGCCGTTCGGTCAAGCGACTGCGCTACAAAACCTCCGACGCGGAACGAGTGCATAGTGTAGCGGTGCGGCAGTCCCGCCGCTCGCAAATGCCCTTGAAGGGCAGCCGTCATCTGAACCGCCGCAAGCGGAGCGCAGCCCGGAGTTCCGTCCAGCAGAACGACAGGAAACAGATGCCCTTGAGACAAATCCCAGCCAATACGCTCCGCCGCACTGATGTAGGCGGTAGCATTGCTCACCGCACAAATAGACGGGCAGGCGACGTCCGGACGCACGACAACGGCATCGACAGAGTCACGGAGGGTCTTACCAAACTGGAAGATGAAAATCAGACCCTGCCCCGCGGGCAACCGCAGAACTTGCTATCCCATAGTGAAGGAGAGATCATGGCCTCGCCGCATGGAGGCGCACGCCAGCGATAACAAAGCGACGTCCCTGGTGAGCTCAATACGTCCCGCCAAAGAGGACGCAGTCTGCGCGCGAGAGCGCATGTCCCTCAACAAATCGATGAGGACATGCGGTAACATAGCCTCTGCCTGGTTGACAGCGACACCCACACGTTTTTGTTCCTCCCCCGTGAAGACGAGGTAGGAGTCGGCGAGAGGACTACAACACGGGTTGCCCGAGCGCGTGGCAGGGTCCCAGCTGCTGTCTTTTCCCAACTGTTCTTGCATCACCATCTTCAACTTGGACACGATCCCTTTCTGCATGGACGCGGCGGCATACCGCTTAGCACATGGCGAGTTTGGAAGACAATCGCGGCAGTGAGTCGTGCCGACACCAGGGCATGCCCTGTAGTGCACCCACTTGGTACCACTACCTTGTGTGTCCAAGAAGCAGAGATAGTCAAACACGTCTCGGTCCGAGGCCTGCTTCCAACCCCGACGTTGTTCAGTCGCCGAAAGTATGAAAGCGTCGAACCCGTCCGCTACGGCACACTTGCGCTGTTGAGCACGACGGTTAGACGCGGCCGAGAGGACCTGATCACCACGAGCGCGCAGCGCGTCGAAATTGATCGACACCCGAGCCGCTTGAGGGTCACGCGGGACCGGACGCCCGCGGGCAGGCTGAACACCGCAGGACCAACAATAGTTGCAATGTCCCACGTTTTCCGTCTGGCCGACGAACACGCTACAAACTGGACACAGCCGCCCGGAGGCAGGGTGGGGACCTGTGATACGAAGCACAAGCCATCCACAAGCCAAAGGGAGGGAACTGGGCAAGATGGACGAGAGCCGCATGCTGCAGTAACAGGTTACCGGTGTCAATCAAGATTGTTTTTTTTGGAGAGCGGCAGCACCTAAGAAAAATAAGTAAAATCAACCTCAGAAGCTACCATGGACCACCTCGGGTACTTCCACTCTTTCAGGGACCCGTCTGGGCAAGGCCACTGAAAATATCCCTCGCATTAGGCGGGGAAATCAGCATAGACCGCACTGCCGCCTGCTGCACCCGAGAGAACCAGTAAGACTTAGAACCCGGTACAACAATAACGGCATGCGCGTGGCACTCCGCAAGGTGTTGCACTACGTGGCCCGCCATCACCGGCGGCGAGAAACAATAACCGAATGCTCGATCCAGAGTACCTGGGCGCAACGACACGTCTTGGGCGTTCAACATTCAGACGTGGAGGAAGGAGAGGAGGTGATCACAGTAAAGCTGTGCGTTTATTGCGCGAGATACAGCAGCCCGTGTTGCCCTGCGTACGTCAGATGAACTGGTAGTTTGTGTTATTTCTTGCGGTTGTTTCTCTGAGGGACAAAATATGTCGGGGTTGAAGTCGCGTTTCTGTTTTCAAGCATGTCACCGGGCATGTGTCGTGTTGCTGATTGCGTCAGTAACGACCGCGACGAGATGCTCGACAAGCCACTAAATTGTACTTCGTACATTCATTGTACGTTACCTCGTGGGGTCTAGCTGTGACGGGTGGGGTTTGAAGCTAGGCTGACCCAAAATGTGAAAAACATTGAGGGTGCGAGGCGGGTCGTTGTCGTGCTTGTCGTCGGTGTCGTGATTTGTGTTAGGCTTGGTGTTCCTCTTTGTGCACCCACTCGCGTATTGTGGAGAGCTTCGACAAAAACGAGTGTCGGAATCGTAAGGCGACGTGACATTTGTTGCAAAATGATGTATACAATGGCATGCTGCCGTTGAGCGGGGTGGTGTTTCGAATTCTGAGGCGAGCGACAGCCTGGACAGTGGGAGAGAGGGGTTGGTGTGTGTTTGTCATTTTGCCAACACGCGGCTTCACTCTGGCTACACATGAGTGCCAACGAGCTGGTCGGTTCCGAATCTTGAGGTAGAAGCATTCGTCCGTGGGTGTCTGAAAGAGGTGCTATGAAATATTACCGTTACCGTTTTTATTTTCGACTCTGAGCACCACGAAACGCGTCAAAACGTACATTTTGACAATTTGATTTCTTATTTAAGATGGTGCGTGTGTACGTTGCCTACGCAAGTTTTGTATACGTGCGTGGCTGGCCGTCGGCATTTCAGCTATGAAACCCGGCACAACAGTGGCGTTGCAAGAGCACTGGTACTGAAGAAAGAGTGTGATTTACGGCGTTTCCTCCGAGCTCGTTGTACAATTCGGACGTCACAAGCAAGTTTTCTGTTGGACTGATCATGTATGTGTGGGAATTGCCCTTCGCAAGATCCAGCAGAGTTTCAATCACAACCAACAAAGAGAACCACGAAAAGTGCTGGCCCCTTCGAATAAAAGACAACGTAACACTAAATACTTGAAGGAAGCAGGAAAAAACACTAAGTTACAAAGGCCAGCCTTCAGCACCAGAGACGCCCCGTTCTTGTGCTACTCAAGGACAATCAGGCGTGCAGGAAACGAATCAACCATTTCTCTCATGACACGCCGAAATCACATGGTATTATTTATCGGGGTAGCCTTCGACAACCACCGCACGAATCTAGTGGCGCATACGGCAGGAAGAGCGAGCCCCTTGTGTCCCGACCAAACCCCTCCTCTTGTTCCCGTGTCCCAGTCTGCAGAGTTGCAAGAATGACGCCCTCACCTGGGTTTCACTCAATGGCGTTCGAGAGGTCAGCCCAGATAGCAGTCATTGTCGATCGCCTAATTACGTTTCGTGACCCCATCACACCTCGTGCGAACGTCAACCCGGTCCTTCAAGGACCCCTGCACACACAACAACTACTCTACTTGAATATGTACACTTTAACGACGTGGGTCTGCAACGCTTCCGTGTGGCGAGTCATGGTGCAGTCAGTGTCACCACCCAAAAGGGGAGCCAAACTTCTCCCGCCCGCTCAAAGTGGCGGCGGGGGCCGACGGGTACGGCGACGCTGCACCCTGCCCGCAAATTCCTGGGGGGAGGCGATAGTTTCCCGGCCCTGGCGCCTGTTTGGTGTGTTGGAACAAGAAGGAAACGCAAGGCAGGTTTTCGTTGGTGCACGAGAAAAATAGGAGGCACAGTAAAGCAGGGATGGAGAGAGACGGAGGGAAGGAGGGAGTGGTCATGATCTCACCTAGTTGTTGGTGTGTATCGATGATTGTTGCTAATAGCATTGACCGACCATGAGTTTGAACGGAAGTGGACCATGGGTGGATAGGAACGAGACAAGTAACCTACCTCTTGAAACCAAGAAGAATGGCTTCTGTACATATTTCGGGTGCGCGCATTCCGGCTGGAACTTCCTACAATAATCGTGGCGTGAAGGAGGTACCACTTCTGCTCGCGTGCATTCATCTCTATGTAGTCCTATTGCCATTTCTGCAAACTGCAATCCCACTTCGGCGTGGTTCAGATCTCCCCGATCGGTCCCCATGCTGCACGGGACCAATCGGAAGGAGTTGTTTCACACTGATCCGTGACAACTGGCGTATTTCATTGGCTGGCCGGCAATCGCGGTAGAAGTAGCTCGAAATTACGTTTGGTTTGGACGGTAAACCGGCGTACTTACCACATCTTCCAAACTTCCGGGCTTTCCCATCCGAACGGCCTTGGAGAATTTCGCACCGCTTTTGTTGCACCTTCTCGAGTCAACCTTTTGGGGGTTGTTGAGGGTGGTTTGCGTCGTGGGTGGAGGGAGAGACAGGAAAGATAAAGATAGGTAAGGGGGGTGCAGAGTAGGGGTAGGGGACACTATTATAAAGCAAAGGGTGAAGCCCATGTTGAAAAAGTTGGAGTGAGGCAACATCTCAAGGTTGATAAAAGGATCATTACAGAAGACTGGTGTATAGGTAATCTTGCTGTGCCTTGCATTCTCACCTCGCTATGTTTCACGTATGGTAGAGAGCGCACTTGGACCTGAACCAGAAACCCCAGTACACACTGTACGCAAGTTTTCAGAAACGCTATGATTCCCTGCAATACGCTCTCTCACGCCAACATCTTTTGTTGCCAAAACATGCGCTTGATAGTCTCAGTTAAAATAAGGAGAGAACCTTCCTACCGGGCCGGTCCTTTCCGAGCAGCATTAGTCTATGTGCCAACAGATCCAAGGACAATTCGAGACGTATGCCGACATGGCTCTCAACTGGAGCGGGGTATGATGGGATGAGCGAGGAGGGATGAAACTACGAAAATGTCTCTGTAGCCCCACCTTTTGGAGGACAGAAATAAATCAAGAATAATGGGGGGTCACCTGACGTTCACCGGTCGATCCCGGGATAGAGTATTCTCCGGGTCCCACGTCGGCGGTGCTCTGAACCAACAAATCGGGCCGGTTGCCCGTGCCGAAGCCCACTCCGTTGTGACTCCGCTTCGTCGATAAAACCTTTTGTTCCCCGGGGTCATCAGAGAGCACGCGGCATTCATCAGCCGCGTTACGTTTTTGATGGGCTAAAAAGACAAACTATGAGAAGCAACAACAGAACGTCCCGGTCACTGTTGAGGAGTATACTAGGAGAATCGAGTTTGGTTGTCACTGCAACGTCGTCCAACTCCGAAATCCACCCCGCTGCGTCCTCGCATCGCCGCCTCGGTCCCTCTCACATGCCCCCCGCCACCCCCCACCGCCTTCCGCACCCCTTCTCCCGTTCCGCTCTGTATCTCTGTCATACGCACGTACAGATCCGTGCGTGTGTGCACGCGCCCGCACACCTGTCACCGCTTCCAAAGAGAGACACCCCGCAACGAAAACCCCTTAAAAATGAAAGCATCTTTCACGATTTACCTGCTTTCCTACTCCGGGATGTAGGTTGTACCGGCCGGGCCCAGGCGCACGGACAACGTTTTCTCTGATCATCGCGCCAGCATCTTTGGGGAATGTATACTGTGTGGCGGGGCAGTCAGCGAGAGGCCGCACGCAGCATGGGGATAGCAACGCGCGAGCATCACAACACGAAGCCAACCGGGAGGACGGTGTTTACGTGGCACCCCAAGATGCCCCCAAGTCTGGGTTCGGTTTTTCGAGTTGCGGAATACTTTTACAACACCACAGTAAGCGCCTACACCCGATACATTGTTGCACTTTCTCGAGAGCATGGCCGTTATTACAACGATTACATGGATGTGTGATGTTGGTACAGAACGTAACTGATGACACATGTCGTGGGACAAGGTAGTTTCGACAATTTTTCTGCGAAAGGACTCCTTTGTGTCCTCGGTAGGGCGTGCTAGGCAGTTCGTTTCCTCCATGGACCAAGCAGACGTTTTCGGGGCGGAGAGGCGTTGGCGCAGAATGCCGGCTACGGTCGCTGTCAGCCAAGGTTGCCACCGAGACCGCAACATGTGTTCGTGTATGGCGAGGGTGAAGAATGCATGCACACCCTGCATGCCGACATCCACCTTTCACTCCTCGCCACGTCGTTCTCAAACCATGTTACGACGCCCACCGAACCTTTGGGGCGTTTTCTTCTTGAGGGTTGACGATGGCCAACTTGTAGTGCCCTGGTCCGGGTTCCAGCTGGCAAGTCCGATCGATCGCCTGCCCGCGCGTTTCAAGAGCAGCGGGCGTAATGTTTTGGCTATATTTCGTTTTCCATGAGCGCATGATGCCAAGGGTCACCCCCCACTGCTGTGACGATTTTCTACGCAACATTCTTCCACAAAAAACACGCTGCTGATGACCTCCTGTGGCGATGTTTGGAAACACAACAGATACGTCCATCCACGAATAGTGTGGATGGTGGAGAGTGAGACATACATATACACCACAAGCAAACGGTCAAGTATCAAATGTGTACACCCCTCTCACTTTCAAGTCAGGAGATCCGAACTTTTCGCGCCCTCGCATTGTGAAACTTGGAGGAGATCGAATCATGCTGCTGGGGTTAACAAACCTGGAAATGCGACGACGACACCGACGATCGAAACGTGTGTCTTTTTTTCCCACAGGAGAAAGGCAGACAAGGGCTTTCTACTAATTGTTATCCCGGTGTCCCGTGCAGGAGGAATGATATTCGACAGAGAATGACAACCGAAAAGTGGCCTGTAGATATCGGTTGTCCTTGTGTAACGTACGAGGGTACCTTGTCCATTGTCACAAGCAATTGCATCGGGACATTTTGTTCGTGTTTGTTTGTAAGCGGCTCAACTCCGACCGAATGCTCACGTAAGGGCGTGCATCTTGGCTCGGCGTGGTTGGGGTCGGCCGTGCTTCTCCTCTTAGCCAATATTGAAAGAGAATCTCCCCGATGTTTCAACGAGATCTGGACTTCCCTCCCTATTCAATTTCTTCCCACGACAGCAAGAGAACCAACAAAGTCGAAAAGGGTGAGCGGCTTTGGACGAGGGCTCCGTGATATAGAGTCTCTACCAAAGCAAACACTCGCTCGACAACGGCCGGCACCCTCTTCACTGGCTGAGATAGCGGGCTTCTGGGAATCACTGTCGCCCCTGTGTCAAAACACGGCAGCTATAGAGGGAGCTTCTCGCAAGAGCTTCTTTGCTTACATGGTGGATTTGAGTTGGTACGCCCCGGGTCCCGGTGCTTCGGCTCCCCCATCCTGCAGGGGCGGCCGGCCGGCCGTGCCAAAGCCAATCTGAACGGAAACCGTGCAACGTGTGTCGGTTTAGCATGTGAAAATCGTGAGAGTATTCCCGCCAATCTGCGGTGATGGATGTACGTGTCGAGCCGTGAAAGTATTGCCGCCAATTTGTGGTGATAGATGTATCGTGTCCGGTGGGAGCGGTCTTTTTTTATCTGTCGATTTCCTTTGTCCGGCTTCGAAGTCTGTCTGGCGGTTGTTTGGGTTGGTTTTCTGGGTCCTTTTGCTTCTTTTTGGGATAGTTCATAAGCATAGTATGTGATCTCTTTGGGTAGCTACTGCTGTAGCCTGTGACCACCAAGGCGTACGCGTTAGTGGAGTACGGCTGTTTGAATAGATCGAGTAGAGATCGGAACGATTTGAGTTATGAAGGTGACAACAACAATGGCCACAACACACCAACAATATGATCAGATAACTGACCCACGAAACTAACTGTGGTCCGAAAACCCGCGGTGGCAATAGCCGGCAATGTCAAATCAATTTTCGAGTCTGTATTTTCGGCGTTCGATGGAGTTTTCCGTTGACATGACCCAGGTGGGTGTACCTGGAACCTGGAACACACTATGTAGTCTAGACAATGCATTTTTGTTCATTTTTTTTTTCCTCCAAGAACACAACGAACTGTAATCTCTATCCACAAATAAGAGAGGGAATTTATTGTTCGAACGTCTACTACGTATGTGTAGTATTCGCCGTCTCAATTATTTCACCGTCCCTCGCAGTCCGTGCCAATGTTAGCACTACATTATACCTGGTGTTGTCGTCATTTTCAACATGGTGGCTTTCCTGGAAGTACAAAGGATGTGCTTATGACATGAAAGGTTTTCATAAACTGCTACTAGTGCAAATAAGTGTCGTTGCTGCACCTTAGGAGCACTCCGCACGGTTTCGTTGTAGCTATCCATGAGCGTTCTTCTCATCTTCAGTATGTCGGACGACTTGGACTTTGTCGCGGCGGGCAGGTACTCTCCACCCAGGCTGCCACGGCCGCGCGAAACAAGTGACCCCACCGGGCAACGACGTCGACCACCGTTACTCGAAATAGTGTTGTTCTTGATTGTTATGTATACCTGTCCTCTGCAGCTTTGGACAAAGAAGACTTTCCACTCACCATATCGATCACTCGCGTTGTGTAGACTAGTCTTATAGTGAGTTGTCCCTAATGTTTCACGTAGCTCTCGACGCTTGCGCTGGTTTCAAATACAACAATAATTCCATAGTCTTGTAGGCCTACAGCGCCTCGATGAAATTTCTCACAACAGATAACCGAAGAAGACACGCCATTCTGCCCTGGGCCGTCACAGTGGGAGCGATTGCCTGTCGGAACCGTGCGACCGACGCATCAACCAAAAAGCTACAAGGCACCTAGCTCACCCTCCCTTGCATACCTGTTGGAGACTAGGTCCGCTCTGCTATTCTGTTGAGTAGTCATCGCCATCCTCGATCGCAATCCCCTGCGATGGCAGAGCTCGGCCCACGACCACGCACGGTGCCTTGCCCGCGACCTGGCGGATGCTTCAGAATTGCTCACAACTCCAACAGACCGAGGTTATTCGAACAGAGGCCTTCCTACAGCACGTGTGCTACACTTTGCTCGTCTTACACCACCCACACGACAACAAACTGTAGACATTCATTCTTTGTGTGACTGGCAGTGATTCGAACCACATGCCAGCGCGCTCATGCTGCACATATGTACTTGTCCCGGATCGAAACGGTTTTCTCCCAACCGACACATGTTGCGCCGCACCCAGATACCTCCCTTCGTGCCCGTATATCTCTTAGCACACCCTCCTGTCAAGGCTCCAAGCTACACCAATTGTTGGCAAAGGGATCGAGAATTCAGTCAAGAGGTATGGGGGACGATGGCTGCAGTGCGTCCGAACTCAGACGTCGGTATCACATGGGAGGAGATCTAAAGGATGATTCTTTGACCGCACCACAGCTTCGAGCCCGGTACGGTATCAAGAAGAACACGGCAGGTGTGTCCGCAACCCGATACAGCGACTTGCATAATAATGGAGGTTGCTCGGAGAAGTTCTGACTCTTCGTGTAGAAGGGGGCATGTTTGTGGTTACGGACATGTAAGGTTCGAACCAGGCCGGAATACGCACTACGATTGTATGTCGTCTACACCCTTGGGACAAACAATTTCTCATCACAATCAATCGCGGTACAGTAGAGACCGTAGTCTACACTAGTTAGATGGGTCCTTTTGATTATTTATGACTTTCCGAAAGTGTGTTGGGGTTGGTAGCCTGTGGCCACGGACAACGTCCACTTGAGTTAGACCGAGTACGCCACAATGTACTGCGCAGAGATCGAAAGAGTTCTACTGCTGATTCTAAAAATTCTGACAACAACGGACAACGTCACCCGAGCGGCTTCCATACTTGCACCACCACCAACGCCATACACTTTCATCGAACGTTGTGCCGCGTCCGCGGATGTCGCCTTAGACTTGACGAATGTACCAACGGTGAAATTACTGATGATGTAGACGGAGTATTGGGCGGAGTTCCTCACTCAGGTACGTTTTGAACCGCTGTTGGAAGGTGTACGGTATCCTTCTTCAATGGATGTGCATGTCTAATATCAAAGGTGGGTATACTTAACGGCAGACAATACCGTTCTCCATTTGGTTGGTGTTAAGAAGCACGATGACCGCTCGACTACTAGTCAGCGCTGACTACAATATGTAGTAGTCTAGTGGTCATCGTGCTTCTTAACAAAAGTTCATGCCCGAGTCTGTGAAGCTTTCTTTCAAGCCACGAACACGTCCCCCCAGGGTTGCCATCCATGTGATCAGTGCTGTCTTGCCCGATCCATGATCGGCCGATCCGTGATCGGTATACCATGTACAACAAGAGATTCATCGGCATATTTTGCGAAGTCCATGACTTTTCCCATAAACATGGGAGCAAATAAATCCTCGAAGGATAAAATGCTCACGGGGAAATTCGAAACCCGGACATGAGCTTTTGTTAAGAAGCACGATGGCCCAACCTCGTCTGCGATTATGCCTTTTGAGGGATACTTCACGTGGAAGGTCCATCTAGCCACATCGATCAGAGTCTTGAAGGACGTGTGGTGTTGAACAGCCTAGCAACCGCCTTGGTTCTGACTTGTTATAATCCTGCCCTCAAACGGCGATGCTTCCTACCATCAATCAAACCAGAATTCAGCACCAAGACCGGCGGAGCGCGGGGCGGGGATATGGGGTCGTCCGTTTGGCCATTGGCGGCCGTTCTTGCTCTGGTATTGGTAGCAATCCTGTTCGCGGTGCGCACAGGCGGCAGCGAATAGTCCGCGTTGTAGACAGTAGACCAACTCTGCGCGTGCTTGGGCCAGCTGAGAAGGTTTTGGTTGCATCGCAGCGTGTGACGTCTGGCTCGAAAAATATTGAAAGTCGTTGTCGGCGCGAGGGCAACGACGGGTCGTTGGTATTATCATTCTATTTGCGAATGTACACTTATCTGTATTGTGAGCAGGAGGGAGAATCTGGCATTTCCACTGTGCCACGGGAGCAAGCTATAGGTGTAAACCCTCTCACGCGCGGCAAGAGTTACGCTTGTTGTTTATATAGAGGAGAACGCTATTCCTATTTTGAGCTATTTGTTACTCGGGTACTTCCGCGTTGCAAGTGAGAAGATTTGAAAGCTGTCGCGTTTTTTTCTCGAGAGACGGCGGGGGGGTGTAGAAACGTCTGTTGCTTGGGTGATGCAAACGAAAAATCAATAGCAATTTGCTCACCACGTTGAAGACGTCGTCCGCGTTGGTTGGTTCTGAGAACGATGCAAAGGCGCGCGGTGATATATTTACGATCTATTTCTTTCATGGTTAGCACACCCTGTCGAGTTTCAAAGTCCACAACCGTGTTGTGGCCTGCGTAGCATTCAGTGGACAGCGCGCTTGGAATGTGATCTGCAGACCTGCTAGGAAAGGGTGTGGGCATTTACACCCCCCTGGTCCTCGGAACGTGCTTCTGTCAACCTTCTGCCCTCGCTTCTACGCTACCGTAAGAACCCACTCGCGCGCATTTTCACGGAGACGTCCGGATCGTAAACCATCACACCACCACCACGCGGCCCAACATCACTCACATCACGGCCCGATATGGTTTCTTCCCATGCGGAAGGCAGCTGTAAAGAAATTTGTTTTCTGACCCAACGTTAAAGTCAAAAGCCATAGAACCACGAAAGAACTTGCTAGCAACTCTTTTTCTGGGTTGAAGTCCCACGCTACCTCCGTATCGCCGAAAGGAGGGACTGTATTTCACGTGTCAGACCGAGCCTCGCTTTCACCACGGGCTGGGTGGCCTGCTTCATTCTCGCAAAAGATGAAATGTCGTACGAACCACGGTGTTCTCTTCCGGTGGTAATTTGCCTATGGTTGTCTGATTCATCCTGCACAAGGGAATCCACACGGCCTGCATTATACTCTTTCGGGGACCGTAGCACGTTGCGATGTCTTCCCCCTCCCCCACATCCCTTGTCCCCCTGCTGGTATGATCGCGCTTGGGGATGTCTCGTGTTACCGGCAGCCTCCTTGCCTGTTGTTGCCATTGACAATTCTGCTCGGCAACTTTTATCCGGTCTCCGCCGCTCCCGCCGCCTCCCGCAGTTGGGGCAACCTTGTGCACCGTCGATCTCATGGTTCGTCTGGAGGCAAACGGAACACGTCCAGCCTTGAGATTTCTCGGGAGTTTCGTCGTCGGTTTCCTCGACTTTCCCACCAACGGTTGCTTCGAAAGACCTGCTTCTCTCTGCCAGCTGCTTCTGGGTCCGTGACCCGCCACTGACTGGTTCTCTGACCGAGAGGAGCTCGGGATCGTTCCCGCCGATCCCCTCTGATCTCTCGTCTTTCTCTCCCTCGTCGTCCAGCAAAAAACGAACCACTCTTGCTCGAGGGCCGGTTCCGACAGAGCAAGACGAGGTGGTGCAGGCGTGGTTTCCTTCTTCGTCGCAGCGTTGCGCCGAAACTGGAGGAAACAGCACCCCAACACGGCTCTTCCCCGGTGTTGCTGGCGCCGGGTCTCTAGCGGTGGTGTTTGCTTGTTGAAGGTTCTTTGTCGTTGTCTTTCTCACCTCGATGTCCTCTGCGGTATTTGAGGGGCTAGAGGACTTATCGTTCCCGAATTCAAAGGGATGGGGGAGCTTTGACTTGTCGTCGTCTACGTGGCCGCTGGTACCGCTGGCGCCGCGCCAGATACTGTCACTGGAGCTATCGTCACTCGTCGTGTCCCCTGATTCGTCGCGATGCATCGTCGTCTTCGGTTGCCTCTCCTCTCTCCCACGTGTCCTTCGAGTTAAAGCAGTGCTACCCAATACCTTCCCCGCATCCGGCTTCGATCTCCGGAGCGGAGCACGACTGCTGTTAGCCCAACGGCCTGCCAACGATTCACGATGACCTCGCTGTCCACCGTCTGCCGGCAGAACAGAAGAAACGCCGCCAACGTCGCTTCTCTTGTTCCGGCTGCCGTGCAGCGTTTCCTTCATTTTCGTTCGGAGACTTTGGCTGTTGCTCGCGCCCTTGTGCCCATGGAGCGAAGCGGTGGCGGCAACGACGCGCTTTTCGCCAACCCCCCTCCTCGCCATTGGTACGCCACTCCCTTCTCCCCTCTCTGTAGTGGCGATGGTGGTGGTGGTGATGGTTGGAGATGCCGTGGCGGAGGAAAGCAGGTCTATCTGACGGGCCACTTGTCGTCGTAGCCGGCACACGATGGGCGAAGATGGCATGGGGTCTAGTATTCCGCATAAATACCTTGTGTCGTGTGGTCGCAGGTTTGATTCCGGCCGCCCCGTGCGAGAAGGGGTTTACAAGACAAGGGAGGAAGAAGAGATAGGGGTGAGGGGTTGGGTGGCGAGTAAGGGCTTCAAAACTCGAGTGCCAACGGTTAGCCGCCGATTTTCCTGAGTTGCTAGAAAACCAACCCATGCTTTGCTGCTAGAAACCTGCTGTGCGGCAGTTCCACTACTGGAACCCACAACGCTCTCAAAGAGAAAAAGGAGCTACATGTGACCGACAACATGTTCTGTTTTTTCGCGGAACGAGCGATACATTGTTGTGGGGGCGGAAAAGGAGACAATCATCCGCAACACACCCTGTTGTCATGGAATGTCGGCTCTGTTGATAAAATGAGAGGCTCTGAACTCCTAGTTGACGAAAAACATTTTGGCCATGCGCTTGACCCCAAGTGCAACGAGGGGAAGACAGGTAGCCGTTGCGCTCTGAAGATTTTTCCTCTGAACGAGTCCGCCGCCACGGAAAACAAAACACGAGCCCTCTTTCATGACGACTTCGGGCTAACGTAAGCGATGTTGGCTCACTTTTCAGACAGATATGCAGCGAATTCCGCGCGAGATCGTGAAGACGACGACGCCTCCCAACCTTCAACCTCACGTTCGAAGTCGGCAAAGCTCGCAGTAGCAGTTGCGTCGGTGTCAACCCTGGTACCGCCGAGCCTCACCACAGCTGTGCGAACGAATTTTTTGGTCGGCGGCAAGAGTATTTGAGGCCAGGCGTGCGACAAACCTACTTCAAAGCTCTACCCCACGTTTCTTGAGAAACTATCCTCTGGAATGGTTCCAAGACAAGGTTCTGTTCTCTTGCTCCCGACGTGACGCTCTTCCTCGTACCCACCTCGATCCGTCGCCAAGCCGTTATCGCTTTCAGCCTGGTCAAGATAAATTTTATCTTTCGTATTGGGCTCTTGCATCCGGTCCTGTTCTTCCGTCGTTGTGTGACCTATAACAACAGACGGCAGCGAGCGGACCTCAGATCGAATTGGTTGTGCGGGATGGCGGGCTCGACCGTCTTCCCTGAGTTGCGCTTGAGACAAGACCAGTAGAAGCGATGGGAATGCTTGGTTTCAACATGTGGATCCACCACCTCTGCTTCTTCACGAACAATACGGCTGTAGCTGGTTGCGTGCTTACCGTCCGCCTTGGGTGATGCAGTCTCAGACGACGACGCTGACATTGGCCAAGATGCATGACGTCCACCATGGTCGTCCCAGAACGGTCCTCTATCTCGCGTCTCCCTTGATTTCCTGCAAAATGAGTTGATGGATCGAAACCAGGTGCAGAAGTAAGCCCTCTTCGCTAAAAATGAGATATAGACTTGACGATTACCGACCCTCCATTTGCAAGTCATTCGGAGTTGTCGAGCCAACACCTGCACGTAATTTGTATAAAACTCTCTCGAATAAAGCGCACCAAAGCTATCTGAGTACATGATGATCGTATCGAAATCCTGTACTTGTCGCAGTGAAGGCAAACACGGGTGGCCGGAGGTGCAGGGTGTAGGTTGAGCACCGAATGCAGCCCCTAGAAGGTGTAGCTGTGGGCGGTTGGGAGGACAGGCTTGATCTGAAATCATTTATATTTTACGCTACAATGCATACCGGAGCCCACCGTGTTGGTTTGATCAATCCTTCAATTGTGGAAGACAAGAGGTTGTTGATGTACACGGGCGGCGTGCACCTTTAGGCTGCAGCTCGTGCTCTCTCGTTCTGGTACCTTTGGCCAACTGTGCAGCCTCGTCGTTGTCGATATATTTATATGCATGCATCACACCTCCCTCTAAAGAAGCTCTTCAGCCAAATGCCCCAATAAAAAAAACAAGCGTTGAGCATTCCTCGGGAGTGCATTAATCGAAAAATTCATGTTGCTGCAAACTTGCTGCCCGTGCACAAGGAAATGTATGGACGTACAATGAAAGCCCACCCTCCAGAAACGACGTTTTTCTTGTCGCTTCACCAAGAAGCGCCCGATCATGTCGCGGCTCTCCGTGGTCTTTGCTAGAAGTACTTTGTTTTGACCCGGAGACAGGTGCAGAACTCGCTCCACAGCGAATCTGCAAAAAACAAGCACATGCAGTTCGCGCTCAGTTCGGAGCCAACTCCGTGTGTATCGCAGATCTCCGTTCGCCGGAAACTACTTCTAGTCTAGATGTCGAAGACGAGAGAGAAAGCTCGACCTCATGGTCTACTCTGTACAGGTAGCGAAGGCTAAAATGTGCTCGTCATCGACTGTGCATCGGATTAATGGTGCAATAGTCTAGTGGACGTGACATTTGTTCTTTTTCAGCTTTCATTCCAGCATAGCCGGCGGAATCCGCGCTTTGTTCTACATATGCACGCGACAAGATCCAATCCTTGAACCGGAATCTACCAACTCAAAGCACAAACGATCGATCATGTTGCCACGTCGCCTCTAGGGGGAGACCGAGATGGTAAATCTTAACAAATACAGCATGCTGTGGATCACCTTTTGAACATCAAGCAGGCATCCTTCCAGTAACTCTAAAGTCGGGGGTCCCTTGCGGTTGTCATGTTGCTGCGCAGATAGTCCCGCCAAAGGTTCCCCTTCGTTTGCGAAGGCTCGAAGTTGCGGCCGTGGCCCTTTGTTGGAGATCCGCCGTTGATATCTCTTCGTTGTTTTATCGGACACTGCGGCACCTCGAACTTTGTCCATATCTGCAAATAGATCGGAAGCGAGGCTATAGAGCGACATGGCTTCGTATAGCCCCCACAATGCAGGGATACCGCACCGATACGAAGCCAAATGCGCGAAAGAACAGATCGCTGGCGGCGTCCACGACCAAGATCTATGGATGTGGATGCGTTGTATCTTGTGTGCAAGGATTTATTATGTGGTTTTCGTCCAGAGCAGGTGGGTACTGGCTGAGCGAGACTTTCTGTGATCGATCGATGTGAAGATCTGAAGTATCTGAAGTCAGAGTTGTGCGGCGGAACTCGGCAAAAATGTACCCGCTCGGGGCGAACACTGGTTCTAAACTTTGCGAGAAGAGAGAGCCTCTGCCGTGGCCGTGAGAGAGATCCGTCACACCAGACACACGCAGTAAGACCCGCGCGATGCAAGCTGACCCACCTCCGCCTTCGGGAGCGCCCGGCCATGCACCTTCACCTTCTCCAAGATCGCCGACCAAGGCTCGACGGTTAAGCCCTGCAATAATTGTGAGGACAATCCGACACCGGTTCTTGTACATGGACACAGAACACAGACCACAACGCACCCGCGTTCGTGGCACATAGGGGAACCAAGATGCTGTGTGCGACGTGTGCTGGTCAGCAACTTCTTGCAGCTATCAAATGCGCATATCATAGTTAGGTTATGATGTCGGGCAGTATTCTCAAGATCCACCAGCCGACGCAGAAAGACGTTTTGGTGTACGGAAGACCATGATGACGTAGTATACCACCCACCCCAATTGAGTACGCTCTTCGGCACCCGAATCGGTCCACAGCGGGAAGGTCCGTGGCCCGGTGCTGTTGTTGGAAATCTTCTGACAACAATAAATACCTTCAAATGTAGGTATCGAAGACGTCCTGGTGGTGGGGAATCAGGCGTCATGTTTCTTTGTAGACGTACTGAGTACGGAGTGAAGTACGCTACTGCCGATTTACACCCGAACGGGTGGTCAGAATTAGTATTTTCTTTTTCGTTCACATTTATCACCGTCGCTCGCAAGTGTCTACTTGGTACTATCTACTCCACGGTTCTGCCTCTAAGAAAAGTGAAAAATTCGATCCGGGGGTCACATTGAATGTTTCCTCTGCGGTGGTAGTCTTAGATATTAACACGAGAAGGGTCCGGGCTTCCTTTCCGCACGGTTATGCATGCAGACTACTTATCAAGAAGCGTTTTCATGGCAGTGTAAGAAAAGCGGAAAAATAGACGAAACAGTTGGGGTGGCGTTGACAATTGTAGAACAGCACCATCACACTGATGATCACGCGAGCGTGCTACAAATAGAGAAAGTATATCTCAAGTAAGCTTCTTGACAAGTCGACAGCAGCAGCCGCGTGCTACAACGGTGTGCAGGGTGATTCATGTGTATCCCCGCCCCAGTAGCCCCTGGCTACCTTGTCGATGTACCGTGACAAAACACTGACGACATAGGACGGTGAACCCAAGATACAAAAATGTAGGTTGAAAGACGGTCAGGTAGAGCGTGCGGCTTCTTGTTCTCATCTCGCTGACGTCGTGCCTGTAGCGTGCAGGCAGCTCGTCGCTACGCAAAAGCGATAGAGAGAGCGGGATGTAGAGAGAATTTTGTGCAACGGCAGACACGGGGTGTTGGTGAACGCTCGTCCTGTGGCACCCGACTGGCGGTTTCACGACACTGCTAATGGGGAACTGACAAGATCAGAGAGAGAGAGAAGAGGGGAGAGAAAGAGAAAAGGAACCGACCTTCTTTTCATGTGTGCGTGTGGTTCTTCCCCCGCTGCTTGCTTGGCTCACAGATCGCGGCCACCGGGCAAGAAGCATTAGAAGATCTGGAGGAGCTGGAGATGATATTCGGAGCCGTATCCGAGATAGGAGGCCTAGAACGCTGCACAAGCCTCCGGTCGTTGACGCGTAAGTTGTGCGGTGTGACTTCCAAAAAACGCCCAGGTTAGCAGCTTCCCCCCCTGCCTCCAAGTTTGGAACTTTTGGCGGCGAGAACAGGATTGCTACTACTTTGCAAGAATTCGCAAGCAATGAACCCACACACCTTTCGGTTTCCACGCCCCCCCCCCCCCCCTCTCCGATGTTTGCCATCGGGGTTGGGTTTTCGTCGCTTGGCAACTACGTTGTAAAACAAGCCCCCCACTCGGTGTTTGCCATCGGGATTGAGTTTTCGTCGCTTGGCAACGACGTTGTAAAACAAGCCAATTCACTTCGTGAACTCGGCAACCAGGTTACCGTTTTTTTTTTTTTTCCTCGGGTTTTTTTTTGGCGGTAACCATAATGGTGGTCGAGTAGATCATGTTGTGCGGGGTCGAGAAACCTCACTCCGCGCAACGGGGGATGATCGTACCACGTTGTGTTAAAATGGTCAAGCTTCCTCGAGGCAGTTACACAGTGCTTACAACTGTCTCTGGAAGTGAAAGCACCAGAAAATAAATTAAGTCATACGTAGCTGTCATCCGTACGCAAGGAAGTAAGCACAAGATGCCGAACACCCTTAGCAGGATGCAGCTCACCCTTCATGCGACTCGCCAAATACCTCACGGCGCTTCGCGCTTGGT